TGGGCAGGAGTGCAAGGTCCATGCTGGTGCCCCAGGGCTGGCGGGGGCCCAGGGCGAGGCAGCAGGAGGAGTGTGAAGCCCAGGCCAGCAGGGCCTGGGATCTGCCTGGCTCCATCACGCAGGGCTTGCATGCAGTTCCCAGGCTCTCCACCCCACGTACCTCTAGGGGAAGTCCCGCATGATAGAGCCAGTGGCCCGGCCCGCTCACTGCAACACGCAGGTCATGGGGAACAGTGGGGAGCTCCGTGCTGTAGAACCGGGCTGATTCGACCCCTCTCCTTGCCACCCCAGCAGAGCACCGTGCTCTGTACCACTAACTTCATCGCACAGGGTTCCCCCAGTGGTGCAAGGCTCTGGCATGTTAGCCCTGTGTGATGGAGCCAGCAGCCCAGCCATGTGCAGCCCTGGGGCTCACCGGGACCATGCACTGCCAGGGCGATCTGCCTGCCATAGGCTGTAAGCAACCAAGGGCCCGCTGCCAGCTGCTGTTGCTGGTGGCAGAAGCTATGCAAACGGGGAGGGGCATGTTTGTTGGGGGGGGAAGAGGTCCCACACATATATTCCACCATACACATATATCCACACACCCCCAGAAAACCCCGTACCCACCCACCCAGCCACGCTTACCTCGTCCCACCACAAACCCCACACAAAGCCCCCCATCCCTCCCACAACATGCAGGAGTAAGACTTCATTTTAAGCTATTGTGCAATCATCTCTATATGTACACTACACAAACACAGATAAATCAGGACAAATATATTTTTTGAAATAAAATTAAAATATGTTATTATGGATATTTGATTTTTAGTATAGATTTTTTTTTTCTAGTTTCAACATGGCAAACAACCTTCCCAAAAGGAGTACTTTGGGGGCCAAGGGGAGGGACTTCTGGTGGCAAAGCTCAGGGGTCAGGGGTGGGACTTCCAGTCCCAAGATGGTGACCAGGGGGCAGGCACCTGTCAAGGGGCAGCATTACCTTGCAGCCCTCGACAGCTCACCGAAACGTCTTAAGTGGCCCAAAATAATTGCCCACCCCTGAAATACATGAAGTCACACTCAGATGAAAGATGGATTAATGTTCCCAAAGTACGTTTTCCTCACTCATTAATACTGTACAAAGCATATGCGGTTGACATTCAGAATAAACCCTCTTATATTATATAGTGTTGAAATGATGCTGTTGCTGTGATGGTCCACGAAAGACAAGGATTCTTGTGGGTGATATCTTTTATTGAACCAGATACTAATAGTACGAAATTAGCAGAAAAAGTGAAGATTCTGAAAACCTATAATATACAATAGTGCTGGATAGTCTTGCTGACAAGAGCAATTCTTTTTTCAATGAGAATTCTCTTAGAATGTGACTGTTCATGTACAGGTTTGCAATATGCCAATAAGCCTTATCTGATTCCTCTATGATTTCTTGCTCCATTTCAATTTATTGAACATTGACAGGTGCAAGTCTCCAACTGAAAAAAAAAAATTCCTATTTCTTTTCAATTAAATTTATCTGAAGAGATTGTATGTAATACTTTATAAAAAACAATAAAATGTATCAACTTAGTACTGACTGTTATCAATTATTTGCTGGAATGTGTAAGTATATACAATGCAATTCTGTTCACTTTCCTTTATTCATTTTTTTAAGTCAGTAGCAACCTTAATTCAGTGTTTTAAATTACAGAAAGTGCTTTTTTCTTCTCAATATTCAGTAATGCATGTCAGGAAATTTTGTTTGGTTCAGAGACTTTACTGAAATAAGGCTGATGTGCTTGCCACCAAGTCAAAAATTCCGTTTTCCTATTAGATGCTCTGCTTTTCAAAAGATGACAGTTCAGGTATTAACTAGGGGTGCACCGATAGAGATTTCTGTGGCTGATACCGATAGCCAATTTTGAAGGAGGCACATCAGCTGATACCAATCCGATTTCCAATACCCAGCCTGGCAGCATGGTGAGCTGCCTCCAGCTGGTAAGTCTGGGGAGGGAAGGGTTGTGGGGGGGGCAGATGAAGGCCCCCGCGGTGAGGGAGGAGTGAGGCTGGGGCAAGCACTGCCCAGCCAAGGCGGAGCGGGGCAGGTGTGGCATGGAGCCACAGCTCATCCAGGGGTGCCTGGGAGGCAGCTCCTGCCACTGCACATCACTTGGCGGAAAGCCACTCAGCTGGTGGCTTGTTTAGCACTTGCCTGCTTGTCCAGCGGCTCCTGCTGCTGCTACCGCCGCTCGTCTCAGAGGGCGTGTGCCCCCAGCTGTGTGTGGAGTGGGGCAGGCTGGGGCTGCGCTAAGCTCAACCGGGCAGGGCAGGGCTGTGCCAGGAAGGGGCTATGGCAAATTTCTGGCTGCAGCCCCTCCCCTTCTCTCCCCCACCCCCATGGCCGCAACCTCCCTCGCACAGATCCAGAGACTCAGGCCCTCCCCTCCCCCCATGCCCTCCCGGATGAGTGGCAGGAGCTACCGAATCAGCAAGTGAGTGACGGAAGAAGCTCCAGACCAGAGGCTCCTAGACAAGTGGCATGCAACAGTGGGAGCCGCCCCCCCTCCCTGCACCCCCAAGACAAGCCGCAGCTCCGCGTCACACCCACCCCGCCCTGGCTGAGCAGCGCTTGCCCCAGCCCTGCTCCTCCCTTACTGTGGGGGCCTCGATCTCCCGCCCCCCAGCACCTTCCCTCCCCTCTCCCCTTCCACCACACTAGATTTACCAGCTGGAGGCAGCTCTCCATGCTGCCAGGCTGTTTTCCTCGCTGCCTGTGCTGCACTGTGGTTGCGTGCATGCACAGGCCATTTATTGACCAAATTATCGGCCTGATATGGCCGACTTCCAAATTTTCTCTATATCGATGCCGATCCAATATCAGACCCACGTATCAGTGCACCTCTAGTATTAACCTGATTCCTAGAATTCGGGTTAAGCAGCATTACAACATCATGTAAGTAAGTAGTAACTAAAGCTTTGTAGAGGCAAAAAGGGTCAGTCATCACAATTTAGCACTCTAATAAGAGTCATCAACAAATTTTATTAGGAAAAATTGTATCGTATGTGATAAAGATTAAGTGTCAGTGTCAATGGCAAGGAAGAACCCATACACTGCATAGATGAGGCCCCGACTACTTAGAAGCAAAATCACATTTTCAACCATTAACAACAGACAAGCAATACTTTATTCCTGGAAGAGTTGGTAAGAATGCAATTAATCAAAAATCATACTGTACCTTCAACCACTGCTCTGCCTGCTCTTTGCTTTGTACTGCTAGAACCAGTGCATCTGTTCCCTGATGACTAATTTTCAGCTCATGCTTCTTCTTTTTGCTGTCTTTGGGAATATATGTGATGCTGCAGTCATTCAAGAGCAGTTCCATCTGAGGTTGCTGATCCTTCGAACTTTTATAACACTAAATAAAAATAAAGTAGTATTAGGTGAAAGTTTAATTTGCTTCACACACAAAGAAAATCCTTACTACCAGGCAACATTTTTTTTTTTGCTTGTCCCATTAGCAAATACTGGAAAGTTAATCAAAATTATCTTTATGTTTTTTTCCCCATCTTTCTTGAAGTGAAATTAGTGCCCGATTGATACTAGTGGGCATATTTAATAATAGAAACATACTGCACGGTGAAGGGCAAAGTGACCTTATTTATTCTATCACTATGACTGAAGCCTGAACTAGATCAGACTCCCAGAGCACAGTTCAGCCTCCATGTCTGCTTACTCTTTAACTGCCCTGCTAACATTGATAGAACTATGAAATGCGAATTTTTCAACTCTTCAACAGTGAACAAATCTATAATGCCCTTCTGATGCTGGATCACTGAAGACCTGGCTCAGACTTGAACCAAACGCCTAATGAGGGAAGGCTTTAGATAGTCTGACTAATACTATGGACAGCCAGTCTCCCTGTTGAACATGCATCCTTCTGACTTAACTTCTGTTGGTGTGGTTCAGTTCGATTCAGCTTTAATACACAAAGTATCAGACTAATAACATAAATCAATGCAAAAAAAAGTTATTTGAATGTCTAGTTACTCCAACTCCATATGCCAAATGGGCTTCTGTACATTCTGATGAGCTGATGGAAATGCCAGACTTATATATGCTGTAAGAACAGCTGAACATATATGAAGGAAAATAAGCTCACATGCGTTTTTGTACATAAACCTAAAGTACCCTATTTTAAAACTTCTTGTACCCATTTCATGAGCTAAATATAGGAACAGAGGAACTGTTGATAGGTTATTCCAAAGACTACAGCTAAAGCAGACCAAGTATGTTCCCTCTAAACCAGGGGTGGGCAAAATGTGGCCCGTGGGCCCATTCTATCTGGCCTGTGGGGCCCCTAAAAAATTTAGAAAATTAATATTTATCTGCCCTTGGCTGCCTGTCATAAGGCCCTCTATAGCTTGCCAAAACTCAGTATGCAACCCTCTGCCCGAAATAATTGCCCACCCCTGCTCTAAACCAATCTTTGTAGTATCGCTGAATGATGAATAATATTTTCATAGTTTCTAGGGTCGGAAGGGACCTGAGCAGATCATCTAGTCCAACCCCCTGCCATGGCAGGAAAGAGTACTTGGGTCAAACGACCCCAGCAAGGTGTTCATCTAACCTCCTCTTAAAAACCCCCAGGGTAGGGGCCTGCACCACTTCTCTTGGAAGTTGGTTCCAGACTCTAGCCACCTTGACCGTGAAATAGCGCCTCCTGATGTCTAACCTAAACCTACCCTCTGCTAGCTTGTGACCGTTATTCCTGGTCACTCCTGGCAGTGCTCGGGGGAACAGGGACTCCCCCAATGCCTGCTGATCCCCCCTGACTAGTTTATAACAGGCCACAAGATCCCCCCTCAGCCTTCTCTTGTGGAGCCTGAACAGGTTCAGGTCCTGTAGCCTCTCCTCATAAGGCCTGCCCTGCTGTCCCCTGATCATGTGAGTGGCCCTCCTCTGGACCCTCTCCATGTTGTCCACATCCCTCCTGAAGTGCGGCGCCCAGCACTGGACGCAGTACTCCAGCTGCGGCCTGACCAGTGCCGCATAGAGGGGGAGGATCACCTCT